ATTTTTAAGTAGTAGCAGGTCCACCCGTACGCCATCAGACAATCAAAATTTGGTAAAAACGAAAATAAAAATTTATTTCTTCCAAATTTAACAATTCTATTCATCTGAAAATTACCAGAGTTCTAGTAGGGACTGAGCCCTACACAATCCTGAAGTATAGAAAATTTTTTTCAATTTTTTAGTAGTAGCACCCTCACCCGAACGCCATCAGACAATCAAAATTTGGTAAAAACGAAAATAAAAATTTATTTCTTCCAAATTTTACAATTCTATTCATCTGAAAATTACCAGAGTTCTAGTAGGGACTGAGCCCTACACAATCCTAAAGAATAGAGAATTTTAGTTCCATTTTTTAGTAGTAGCACCCTCACCCGAACGCAATCAGACAATCAAAATTTGGTAAATCGAAAATAAAAATTTATTTCTTCCAAACTTAATAATTCTATTCATCTGAAAATTGCCAGAGTTCTAGTAGGGACTGAGCCCTACACAATCCTGAAGTATAGAGAATTTTATTTTAATTTTTTAGTAGTAGCACCCTCACCCGAACGCCATCAGACAATCAAAATTTGGTAAATCGAAAATAAAACTTTATTTCTTCCAAACTTAATAATTCTATTCATCTGAAAATTGCCAGAGTTCTAGTAGGGACTGAGCCCTACACAATCCTAAAGAATAGAGAATTTTAGTTCCATTTTTTAGTAGTAGCACCCTCACCCGAACGCTATCAGACAATCAAAATTTGGTAAAAACGAAAATAAAAATTTATTTCTTCCAAACTTAATATTTCTAATCATCTGAAAATTGCCAGAGTTCTAGTAGGGACTGAACCCTACACAATCCTAAAGAATAGAGAATTTTATTAAAATTTTTAAGTAGTAGCAGGTCCACCCGTACGCCATCAGACAATCAAAATTTGGTAAAAACGAAAATAAAAATTTATTTCTACCAAATTTAACAATTCTATTTATCTGAAAATTACCAGAGTTCTAGTAGGGACTGAGCCCTACACAATCCTAAAAAATAGAGAATTTTATTTCAATTTTTTAGTAGTAGCAGGTCCACCCGTACGCCATCAGACAATCAAAATTTGGTAAAAACAAAAATAAAAATTTATTTCTTCTAAATTTAACAATTATAATCATCTTAAAATTACTAGAGTTCTAGTAGGGACTGAGCTCCATACAATCTTGAAAAATAAAGAATTTTATTTCAATTTTTTAGTAGTAGCACCCTCACCCGAACGCCATCGGACAATCAAAATTTGGTAAAAACGAAAATAAAAATTTATTTCTTCCAAATTTAACAATTCTATTCATCTGAAAATTACCACAGTTCTAGTAGGGACTGAGCCCTACACAATCCTGAAGTATAGAGAATTTTTTTTAATTTTTTAGTAGTAGCACCCTCACCCGAACGCCATCAGACAATCAAAATTTGGTAAATCGAAAATAAAAATTTATTTTTACCAAATTTAACAATTCTATTTATCTGAAAATTACCAGAGTTCTAGTAGGGACTGAGCCCTACACAATCCTAAAAAATAAAGAATTTTATTAAAATTTTCAAGTAGTAGCAGGTCCACCCGTACGCCATCAGACAATCAAAATTTGGTAAAAACGAAAATAAAAATTTATTTTTACCAAATTTAACAATTCTATTCATCTGAAAATTACCAGAGTTCTAGTAGGGACTGAGCCCTACACAATCCTAAAGTATAGAAAATTTTATTTCAATTTTTTAGTAGTAGCACCCTCACCCGAACGCCATCAGACAATCAAAATTTGGTAAAAACGAAAATAAAAATTTATTTCTACCAAATTTAACAATTATAATCATCTAAAATTTACCAGAGTTCTAGTAGGGACTGAGCCCTACACAATCCTGAAAAATAGAGAATTTTATTAAAATTTTTAAGTAGTAGCAGGTCCACCCGTACGCCATCAGACAATCAAAATTTGGTAAAAACGAAAATAAAAATTTATTTTTTCCAAATTTAACAATTCTATTCATCTGAAAATTACCAGAGCTCTAGTAGGAACTGAGCCCTACACAATCCTGAAGTATAGAAAATTTTATTTCAATTTTTTAGTAGTAGCACCCTCACCCGAACGCCATCAGACAATCAAAATTTGGTAAAAACGAAAATAAAAATTTATTTCTACCAAATTTAACAATTATAATCATCTAAAAATTACCAGAGTTCTAGTAGGTACTGAGCCCTACACAATCCCAAAGAATACAGAATTTTATTTTAATTTTTTAGTATTAGCACCCTCACCCGAACGCCATCAGACAATCAAAATTTGGTAAATCGAAAATAAAAATTTATTTCTTCCAAACTTAATAATTCTATTCATCTGAAAATTGCTAGAGTTCTAGTAGGGACTGAGCCCTACACAATCCTGAAAAATAGAGAATTTTATTGAAATTTTTAAGTAGTAGCAGGTCCACCCGTACGCCATCAGACAATCAAAATTTGGTAAAAACGAAAATAAAAATTTATTTCTTCCAAATTTAACAATTCTATTCTTCTGAAAATTACCAGAGTTCTAGTAGGGACTGAGCCCTACACAATCCTGAAGTATAGAAAATTTTATTTCAATTTTTTAGTATTAGCACCCTCACCCGAACGCCGTCAGACAATGAAAATTTGGTAAAAATAAAAATTTATTTCTTCCAAATTTAACAATTATAATCATCTTAAAATTACTAGAGTTCTAGTAGGGACTGAGCTCCATACAATCTTGAAAAATAAAGAATTTTATTTCAATTTTTTAGTAGTAGCACCCTGACCCGAACGCCATCAGACAATCAAACTTTGGTAAAAACGAAAATAAAAATTTATTTCTTCCAAATTTAACAATTATAATCAACTAAAAATTACTAGAGTTCTAGTAGGTACTGATCTCTACACAATCCTGAGAAATAGAAAATTTTATTTCAATTTTTTAGTAGTAGCACCCTCACCCGAACGCCATCAGACAATCAAAATTTGGTAAATCGAAAATAAAAATTTATTTCTTCCAAACTTAATAATTCTATTCATCTGAAAATTGCTAGAGTTCTAGTAGGGACTGAGCCCTACACAATCCTGAAAAATAGAGAATTTTATTGAAATTTTTAAGTAGTAGCAGGTCCACCCGTACGCCATCAGACAATCAAAATTTGGTAAAAACGAAAATAAAAATTTATTTCTTCCAAATTTAACAATTCTATTCTTCTGAAAATTACCAGAGTTCTAGTAGGGACTGAGCCCTACACAATCCTGAAGTATAGAAAATTTTGTTTCAATTTTTTAGTAGTAGCACCCTCACCCGAACGCCATCAGACAATCAAAATTTGGTAAAAACGAAAATAAAAATTTATTTCTTCCAAATTTTACAATTCTATTCATCTGAAAATTACCAGAGTTCTAGTAGGGACTGAGCCCTACACAATCCTAAAGAATAGAGAATTTTATTTCAATTTTTTAGTAGTAGCAGGTCTACCCGTACGCCATCAGACAATCAAAATTTGGTAAAAACGAAAATAAAAATTTATTTCTACCAAATTTAACAATTATAATCATCTAAAAATTACCAGAGTTCTAGTAGGTACTGAGCCCTACACAATCCCAAAGAATACAGAATTTTATTTCAATTTTTTAGTATTAGCACCCTCACCCGAACGCCATCAGACAATCAAAATTTGGTAAATCGAAAATAAAAATTTATTTCTTCCAAACTTAATAATTCTATTCATCTGAAAATTGCTAGAGTTCTAGTAGGGACTGAGCCCTACACAATCCTGAAAAATAGAGAATTTTATTGAAATTTTTAAGTAGTAGCAGGTCCACCCGTACGCCATCAGACAATCAAAATTTGGTAAAAACGAAAATAAAAATTTATTTCTTCCAAATTTAACAATTCTATTCTTCTGAAAATTACCAGAGTTCTAGTAGGGACTGAGCCCTACACAATCCTGAAGTATAGAAAATTTTGTTTCAATTTTTTAGTAGTAGCACCTTCACCCGAACGCTATCAGACAATCAAAATTTGGTAAATCGAAAATAAAAATTTATTTCTTCCAAACTTAATAATTCTATTCATCTGAAAATTGCCAGAGTTCTAGTAGGGACTGAGCCCTACACAATCCTGAAGTATAGAGAATTTTATTTTAATTTTTTAGTAGTAGCACCCTCACCCGAACGCCATCAGACAATCAAAATTTGGTAAAAACGAAAATAAAAATTTATTTCTTCCAAACTTAATATTTCTAATCATCTGAAAATTGCCAGAGTTCTAGTCGGGACTGAACGAGGTCGCTGATTACGAATCTGATGTCAGTTTTTGAAAATTCAAAATGGCGGATCCAAGATGGCCGTCGAAAATTTTTAAAATTCGTCGAATTCACTTAATATACGTCACTCAGGGGTTGTTAGGGTCGCTGATTACAAATCTGATGTTAGTTTTTCAAAATTCAAAATGGCGGATCCAATATGGCGAACACTTTTTTGAAAAATTCACCAGATTCGCTTGAAATTTGTTACACGGGGGTTTTTGGAGTCGCCGATTACGAATCTGATGTTAGTTTTTGAAATTCCAAAATGGCGCATCCAATATGGCGGACAAATTTTTTTAAAATTCATCGAGTTCATTTGAAATTCGCCACTCGGGGGTTTTTGGGGTCACTGATTACGAATTTAAGGTCATTTAAAAAAAAATTTTAATTGGATTAGTTATAATTTATATTGAATGTAATGTAACAGTGTCAAAATTTTCTTAGTCTTCAATTTATTATTTTTATTGCTTCAATAATGTTTGTCCGTTAGCTGCCGAATGTTTCGACGTTGTCCGACTCTTACCGCGGAGAGGTGGACTTTTCAAAGAGTCATATTTTTTTTTTAGTTTTTTAATTTTTAATTTTTTTTGTATTTTTTTGGAATGTTTTTTTTATTTATTTTTTTTGTATTTTTTTGGAATGTTTTTTATATTTATTTTTTTTGCATTTTTTATTTTTTAGGAGTGGAGAGCATCCAAGCATGAAACACATACATACACATTGCACTTGACGCACATTCTCTGTGTCCTAGCACCGCACTTTGAGAAATTGAAGCAATAATATTTTTTCTCAACTCGTTCAATTCTGTGACATTTGACTTTTCCTGCACTGGACTTTTTTAAATATGTCTCAGCAATTCCTAAACCAATATCTTTGATACCAATCTTCTTGTCTTTAGTCACCAAATTTTTCAAGACGGTAGCATTTGTTATTGATGCTTGAATAAGTTGCAACCATATAACCCAAGTATACTTTTTTGATCTTATGCAGGACATCAAATTGCTACAATGTGCGTCATGCAAATCAACTCCGCCCATAAACTTATTATACTGAGTAATAGCGTTGAGGAATGAAATATCAATCTTGCGTTTTTCTTCTGAAGAATATCTACGAACAGAAGACATTGGTGTAACTCCTGCCAATGTTGAGAGAATGGAAACTTGCTTCGAGTCTTTTACTGTGATATAATTAACACCACTATTTTTCTCATGTTTGGCAATAAATGTGCCTCTTACAGCTTTATTGCTAATTGTACTTTTCTCTTGCATTCTGTTTGCTCTGACTGTCCCTGTTGCTCTTAAACCTACATTCTTCAGATGAACCAGCAAATCGGGACTAGTAAAGAAGTTATCGAAGTACAAGTGATATTTCACAATGTTTCTGGGTACAACTGAAGAAAGTAGGTTTTGAAGTAGTCCAAGGACAACGCAGCTTCCTAAGGCACATTTATCTAGCTTTTCTTCATTGCCAAAGAAAGATCTTTTGGAGTTTTTGCCACAGTAAATGTCGCAATCAAACACGTATCCTTCAGGACTACAAAGCGCCCACATTTTGATGCCATAACGCACAGGCTTTCTTGGAATGAATTGTCTCAAATCAGTTTTGCCGCGAAACTTCACCATCATTTCGTCAATTGACAAAGCTGTGGAAAAATAGCCAAATTGTTTTACGTTTTTTAAAAAGTTTTCTAAAGGACCTCTTACCCTCCAAGCTCTGTCATTGGAATTTTCGTCTTCAGGTTTAGATAACTTCAGGTGTGACTTGATCTTTTCAAACTCTAAACGATTCATAGCTTCAGTTATAGCTTCACATCTCAAAAGATGATTTTGAGACCAATAATCCCTTTGAGATTTTCTTTGAGTGAAAATGGACAAAATAATTATCCCTAGAAAAGTATCGAATTCAGTCATCGTAATATCACAACCATTCAACCTTGTTGCTTCCACGATATATTCTTTCAACACCTTAGAAAAGAAATATTCAAAAGACTCCGTTGAAGATACAGATCGTATTTTCTTTTCAACACTGAGAGGCAGAAGTGTTTCATTTTTATATTGATAATCATATTTCATTTCACCATCAACCAATTCAAAAACATGATCAGGTTCCAACTTCAACTGATTTGGTGTGTAATTGTCGAGGATTGTTCGATACGAATTTTGTGGGATATCATTCCCTTCATTAAAAATTGAATTTAATAGCTCTTCATCGATAGCATCATTTTCGGAATCCGATTCACATTGGGATTCGTCAGAATCATTCGAATCTGGAACCACAATCACATTTATATGTTCATCATGTTCATCAATCTCGAAATTATCTGTTTCATCAGAAACTTTTTGACGTTTTGCCTTGCGCTTACTTGGCATCTTTTCAGAAGAAAACAAATTTTTTTAAAAATAAAGATAAAAGTCGATAATTTAATAGTCAAAAATTCAAAAATTTATTTTTCCTAAATAACACTTACCTGCGCTACTATAGTAAATTATGCAACAATAAGAAGCATCTATTTTTAGTCAATTCACAATAAGGTCAAGAATCGCTAATTCAAAAGTCAAAGATTCAAAAATCTATGCTTGAAAATTTTTTTCTAAATAACACTTACCTGCGATGCTAGTGAATTGCACAATAATAAGAAACATCTGTTCTTTTAATACAATTGAGCATATTGCTGCAAGAATCATACCTAGCCCAGCAAATTAGTGAGAAATCAGTCTCTGTAGATCGATGAAATGTCGATTAACCCTTAAACCGCACACTGCCGAATCCATCCTTAAACCGCACACTGGGTGTGCGACACCCGGGGACTTTTAAGTGTGTTCTCCAAGCTGGAATAGGATATTATCTTTTGGAAAAATTATCTTATATAGCTCAGTACATCTATTTTGAAGGAAAATAAGTTTCATAATGATTTATTTAATTTTAATAATTAAAAAAGAGTTTTTTAAAACTACTGAAATTACCCTAAACCAAAAACTGGGTGTCAAACAAGCAGAAATTTTTCGCCGACAACTTCATAAAGTTATCAAATACACAAAGACACTTGGGAGACTAATGTCCCTCACGGAACATAAACTTAAGTACAAAATGTATCGTCCAATAACGACACATGTTCAATTTTTACGAATTTAACCGAAATATTAGAGTAAAAAGCTAGAATATGGGTGTCGCACACCCAGGGTGCGGTTTAAGGGTTAAACTATATCGCCACCTTAATCCGCAAAACTCGTAACTCCACTTTTAGTTGAAATTTTGTTTTTTGTATTATTTATGTGAACGAAGTTGCAAATTTTTATTCTAATAAGCAAAAGGGTTTTTTTTAACTATACTTTTGCCTAAATGTCAACTGTAAGGGGTCGTTAAAAAAATACGTAACGCTTTTTGGAGGGAGGGGGGTCAAGCTATTTGTTACGGTCAGCAAACAAAATGGCGCTAATGTATACAACATTGCGTTATATGGGGGGAGAGGGGGTCCAAATTTCCAAAAAATAGCGTTACGTATTTTTTGAACGGCCCCTAATCTGTGTAAATAGTTATATTACTCTTGTATGAAGTAAAATTAAATGGAGTTACGAGGTTTGCGGATTAAGGTGACGATATTAGAAATAAATGTTTCTTGTTTGCGCCATTTTGAATTTTGAAAAACTAACATCAGATTTGTAATCAGCGACCCCAAAAACCCCTGAGTGACGTATATTATGTGAATTCGACGAATTTTAAAAATTTTCGTCGGCCACCTTGGATTCGCCATTTTGAATTTTCAAAAACTGACATCAGATTCGTAATCAGCGACCTCGAAAACCCCCAAGTGACAAGTTTCAGGCCAATCCGATTAATTTTTACATTTGGCGTCCGCCATCTTGGATCCGCCATTTTGAATTTTCAAAAACTAACATCAGATTTGTAATCAGCGACCCCGAAAACCCCCGAGTAACAATTTTCAGCCGATTTTATCTATTTTCAAAAATTTTTGCATTACGTTGTATTTTTGGACCATTTTTTAAAAATTAGCAGCCATATTGGCGTCCGCCATCTTGAAAAAAAATCAGTCGCTTCAGGATTTTATTGCTGACGGTCCATGGACAACTTATTTGGAGCTTTTAAGAGAATGCCCTTACTTTTTCCCAGTGAAAATATAATCTAAAAGAAATTCTTTTCCCGAAAAATCGTGTTTTTTTGGAAAAAATTGTTTATAACTTTTTCTCTCTTTGTTATAAACAAATTCCAACAACAGTAGCTGTAAGAGCGATAAATTTTACATCGGAAATGTTATATACAAATTTTTTCTCATGTCATTTTCATACAAAGCTGACTGCTCAAAGTCAATGGCAATTTTCTGTCCACTTGGACGTTAATGGGTTAACAACTTTATGCTACAAGGATACAACATTGGACCACAACACAAACAACACGCATTCATAGCAGCTGACAAGGGACGTCAGCCTAATAAAAGGGGGGCATTTGTTACGGCCGAACTCCGTAACTTTTATATTATAAACGATTATTTACAATACTTTAAAAATCAAACTACACACAACACAATATTTTGTTAACACGTTATAAAACGCTTACACGAAAATAACCCTATGTAATCTCACAAAAAGGACATTCACTCTTTCGAATATTTTAATCCAGGACATTTTTAATGACATAGAAATTCTAATTCTATATAAATATAAGATTTAATTGAATTTAACATTCCTTTGGGTTTCGCAATTCTTGGGGTGAACAGAACCTAAGAAATATAGTACAGTATTTCTCAACAAATTCCTCTTCATTGACAAACAGCTTATTGACCTTTTTGAGAAACTGTTAAAATAAATTGCCCAATATAAGGAGTGGTGCATCCAAGTCACTGAACTCGGATCACACCATTGCCTAAATCTGCAAGGTTGCAGAAATTGGCTTGACAACAGTCAAGTGCAATGAACTTAATTTATGATTTCCCCCACTAAATCGTCTTTCAATAAAATTGATTGACACCGGGAAATCGAGGCAGTTTAGTCCAGGTCGTAGTTACCTGTAGTTGTAGCCGGCAGTTTAGGCCTGGCAATTCTAAGTCCGGCAATTAGCCGTGTTAATCGTATTGAAAGTCTAACGGTTGAATAAAAAGTTTGTTTAAAGAAAGTGAATTTAATTGAGAATAAAAGAAAATAAATAAAGAGTAAACAAAGGTTGATTTTTAAAAGAATATATCGAAATAAAGAATACAATAAAGTGACAAGTGAAAAATAATTTAAAAAGGTAAAGAATTAAAAGATATTGAAAATAAAGTGAAAAAGAAATAAAAATAAAGAATTTGTAAAAGAGCTAAAGATTAAAAGAAAGAATTGAAATAGTATTAATGAAATAAAGCGAATTTAAAAAAAGCATAAACGTAAAGAATTAAATGAGTGTATTTAAAAATCTAGCATCAGCAGAAATAAACCAAGCATATCTTAAAAAAGAATATTAATTTTTGAAATACTTTTAAAGACAGCCTTTATTTACGGGGGTTTGAGTCTTCAAATTTGCGCGAGCCAAGGAATATTAAATTTGAAAACGAAATATCAATCTAGTGAACCTAGATCAGGTATTTCCTCGTTTTTTTAAATAAACAACCTAAATTCTGTAATACTAAAAGAACAGAATAAGTCATTGGAATAACATTTCAAAGGATTGAATTACCAGACACTGAGTATAGAAATCTTACTCATCACTACACACACATACTATTCTTTCATACACAAGTATAGAATTACTCTTTACTCACACCAATTTAGAATTACTTGTATTAGGGATTTCTTTGGGTAAAATATATCTTATTTGTTTAATCTTATTTTTGCTTATAATTTAATTATTCTTAAAACTATCCTATCTTCTCTAAATTCAAGGAGTAGGGTTCTCAACCTCTTAGTTGAATCAAAAACTAAGTAGAGGGGGAATCCACTACCTTTACAATTTCTTTGTCCGAAGGACACGTTAAGTTAAAGTTTTTTTTTAAAATTGATATTATTAAATTAATTAATTTAATTTTTCAAATTCGACTCTAACACTCAGATTATTTTTGTTTGCAATCATAACTGTTTTGTTTAATATTTACATAAATAAATCCTTTATAAGTTATAAACAATTTTATTATACAAGCCGCAGGAATATTCCGCGGTGGCGAAAACAAATTGTATAAATTTAGTTTTACTTGATTTAAATTTACTTAATAATTTTACTACTCCTTTATATTCTTTTCTCTTCAAAATTTAAAATCAATTTTAATTATTTAAATTAATAATTATTTTTTTTTATATAATGACTTCTTTTTCACCTTTGTTACTAAAGGTTATGAAAGAAAGTAAATTATTTATAGCAATTTTGCCGCTTGCATTTGAGAGAATTAAGGATGAGTCAGACTAATGGTCATTTTCTTTTAATTAGGGAACACTTACGGAAAGGCAGGTAAAGGTTACTTGTTGTTGCATCATAATCATCCCCGCACAAGTACTGTAAATACAAATGCACCCTAAAAGTATAAATGATCAAAAGAATGACTTCACTCTTTTCTTTCTTTTGTATGGTAAAAATAATGCGCTAAAATAAGTTTTTAAAAACAAGACAATATGAAAGTAATTTGACCACACAAAGTATATGAAATTTTGGAGTATTCTTCGAGACAAAATGGAGAACAGGTATTTTCATTTGCAGATATTTTTTTTTCTCCTTGGGGTAGCAGAAATGTTGTTTATTCTATTATTAATAATATTCCTGTAAAATAAAACCTTCAAACTCTCGACGTTACAAATACAAATAACAAAACACAACCTATAACAATATTAGACAAAATTCATTAAGCAATTTATTTAAATAAGAATTTGTAACACGAATTATCCGCGGTGGCGATTTAAACATCATTTTTGACCGTGGATAAATGTTGACACTTTCTGACAAATTTTAGACAAAAACGAAATATATATATATATATATACACAAAAATATACATTTAACAGTCGACCAAGACATAACAGACGAAAACAAAAATTTGGCCAATTTTCTCTAAATTCTGACGCAATTCTGACTATTAATTTAAGATGATGGTTGCCAATTTTAACCATCATCTTCCATTAAAACTATTATTAACATCATCAATTTTTAGGGCAGAAGTAAGGTGTTGATGACTAGAGCCATTTTAACCTCGTTGTGACTATTCTGCGCCCTAATAGAAGTTCCTGAAGAGCTCCATCTATTCGGACAAATTAACCATTTGGAGGTTAATGTAGAACATGCCGCCTGGGAGTCATTTCTTGCCACAATCGATTAGCAGAATTTTACAATCTTATGAAGTCCAAATAATGATATGGAATCAATATACGGACTGTAATCTTTTAAAACTAAGAAA